ACCTCAGCCTCCCAAAGGCGCGGGATTACAGGCTGAGCCACCGAGCCCGGCTTGATATGTAAGTTTTAATTTTGACATTTCAAATGGTGATCTTACATTTATAGGTGAGTCTTGCTACTCTATTAATAAGGATGTGTAAACCAGGTAGTGTAAGTCTGTAGTGTAGCTCAAGCCTTTGACCCAGGAGACCTCCTGGGATGACATCTTTTTGACACGTCTCTGTCTCTGTTTCTTTTGGTTTCTCTCTGCCTGTCTGTCTGTCTGTCCTTATCCCTCTCTGTCTCCCTTTCCTTCTTCTTTTTTTCCCCTTCTTTTCCCTATATTTGTATGTACACGTACATGCACACACGTGTTTTTTTTTTTTAGCTCCAGCAGCTTCTTGAGGTAACATTGTTTGTCTTCAACTGAGCGAGGAGAAGATCCTATATTACACGACTAGCACTTGTGAATTTATAATAAAATATGATGAGAAATTGACTTTTATAGAAACACTTGTCAAACAACTCTTATGCTACTTTTTTTTAGAGGGAAATATTTTATTACAAGATTTTATTACAAGTATTTTATTGCTTTTTTCTTAATATGAAGTATATTTTTCTTTTTTTCTTTTTTAATCAATATTTTTTATTATGATCTTGTGAGGTACAGTTAAGGGTTAGGTGTACAAATATGCTTCGTTTGGGCACCCTTGTTGATAAGAGGTGTCTCCCGAAGTATATTTTTCAATAGTACTCTTGAGTAATATTTAAAAATTTTTGGTGGGAGAGATGCTTTATTGGTGGTTACTTATTTTTGTAGTTATTGCTCAGTAGAAATTGGAATGGTACGTATGAATATGTTGTGTATTGATACTTTAGAAATAAGGTACAAAAAACTTATTATATATATATTTTTTGAATTGGAGCCTCACTCTGTCACCCAGACTAGAGTGCAGTGGCTGTTCCCGGCCACCGCAGCCTCGACTTGCTGGGCTCCGGCAATCCTTCCGCCTCAGCCTTCCGAGTAGCCGGAACTACAGGCGTGCTACCACGCCCAGCTGATTTTTTGATTTATTGTAGAGATGAGGTCTCACTGCCCAGGCGGGTCTCGAACCCGCGGGCTCAGGCAATCCACTCACCTCAGCCTCCCAAAGCACAGGATTACAGGCTGAGCCACCGAGCCCGGCTTATTATACATTTAAAGTATTAATAGAAACGCATCTTAGATTCTCTTCTAAAGTGCAGTTTACAAAAAGGAAGTTTGTATGCAGAACATTTTCTAGGAGCACTGATGATATAGTCAGTATGAAATTTGATGTTCCCTCTAAAATAGTACTCTGAAAATATGTTTTTGTGAAATTTAGGAAAAGAGAAAGATTCCTGTGTTTCACAATGGATCTGCTCCCACATCGGGTGAGACTTGCAAAGAGGCTGCTCATCATGCAGGGCCTGAGCTGCAGAGGACTGGACGGTGGGTACAAACTCTGATACCTTTTAAGGCCCGGGGAGGAATCAATGAAAAACTCATAAACGTTGTTTTTCTTTGGAAGTATTTGGTACCTAATCTTGTATATCGTATTTGTTATATTAAAAGTTGTTCGTTATTTTTTAAGTATATGATATTGAGGAAAATGTGTATGCATTTAAAACTAATTTTAGTAGTATGAACCAAGGTTTAGTTTAAAATGAAAATAATGGACCATATGTTCAGATTATTGCAGTTATAGAGCATACAGGTTAATTTCTATTGCTTGTACAGAAGGTTCTTTAAGAAGATGTAGAGTCTTATTACAGTTCTCCATATTGAGTTAGAGGATTTGTGGAACAGAGAGTAATTAATTATAACTGATTTCAATGTGTGTGTGCATAGATTTAAAATTCTTAGATGACTGTTATATCATGAGATAATGCAAAATTACACGGGCAAGCATGATTAAACCATTGTAATGATCTGTGGAAACCTAGCTAGAAAAATTGCCTAAGGTACAAACTTTGCCTTAAAACATTTTGTAGAAAATGCTATAGTATTTTCATACTGTAGAAAGCATGTGGCTATTGATACTACGTTGTCTACTGGTGGTCAGTGTTGAATTAATGATGTTGAATCTTAAATCTTTATTTTAAGAACCAGAATGTTTTATACAGGCACACTATTAGGGATTTCAATGACATGCCTAGAAGGTACTACTATATATAAGAAAAATAAATAACTGTCATCCTGAATAGGCAGACTTTTGGGAAGCTAAAGTTCACAGTTAATTCATTGATTAATGAAAGGTATTGGTCTCTATGACTATCATAGAGAAAAGACTTTGACCTGGTGTGAACAGTGCTGATCTGTTATTTCTTCTTCATACTGGGATCGGGTTAGTCACTGAGAAGCATCATGATCTCAGAGTCACCTGAGAGCATTTATAAGCCATCTGTTAAGTAATCAATTATTTATTTGGTGATCTAGATTCATTTTTTTAGGTTATTGATGGCAAGTTTTTAAATTGCAAGCTGATACCACTTGCTACCAGATTATTAATAGAATAACTTCGACTTGTCAGTGTTCATTTAGGGTTTATTTCAGTATTACCTTTAAAACATTAGAGCAGTAAAACTTGAAACATCCAAGGCCTTTGAAAGCGTAATTATTTTGGCCTGCTTTTCTGTTGTTGGGATTTGAATGATTATCTATTTTACAAGTCATAAAACTTTTTTGAATTATTGATTCTGTCATCAGTGTTTGTTGAGTACCTCCTATGTCCCAGGCATAGTCCTAGAGACTGGAGATAAAGCAGTGAACAAGAAAAAGTCCCTGCCCCTCACGGAACTTTTATTTTATTGGAAGGTCTTCAGGTTAGATGTATCTGAAAGTCTGGTTTAAAAAAAAGCAGAAATGGTATGAATTTGATGTTGCAAACATAGATTTTTTTAATCTACTGATGAAAACCTTCTGAGTTTTATTAATGTACATACTAATTTGACTACATATATGGTAAATTAAATACACTGAAAATTTTTAGGGTTTTTCTTCTCAGACAGAAATATTCATGTGATTGAAGTACTAATTTTAAGTTACCGAAATCATCATTAAATTCCCTACTTGTGCACCTAAACACAGCATACTACATTCATGTTAAAGTGTGTTTGGATTATAATTGCCTTCCTGGTATTTCTGATGGTTACCTTTAAGATACAGAATGTAGACAATAATTAATAGAATTGCACATTTTCATGAAAGGGTGGTTAGGTTTTGTTTGTTTTTCTTGCACATTTGTGTCCAGAATTACATTTACTCATATAAAATCATTTGCCTGCAGTCTTTTCCGTATATAGTCCATAAAATATAGATGTTTATGTCTCTTTTAACTTAATTAGATAGACCTTTCCTTTGTCATCAATAGATGAGTATGTCTCCTATAATTTATATTATGATTTAAATTGGATTTACAGTTTTATTGACAAAACACTAGGCGCCAGCAGTTTTATGTAGCCCATAGATTTAGTTTGAACTAGCTAGAAACATCCTCTAGTGTACAGTTTGACGAGTTTCATCTCACCTATTTAGGCTTTTTGGTGGTTTGATACTTGACATCAAAAGGAAAGCACCTTTTTTCTTGAGTGACTTCAAGGATGCATTAAGCCTGCAGTGCCTGGCCTCGATTCTTTTCCTATACTGTGCCTGTATGTCTCCTGTAATCACTTTTGGAGGGCTGCTTGGAGAAGCTACAGAAGGCAGAATAGTGAGTACCAAGATTGGTAGTGGCCAGGCTCTTAGCTCTTCAGAGGCAAGTGTTTGTGTGCATTTGTCTCACACTATTCATGCTTTTATTTGAAGAGTCTACCCACAGCATGATTAACCTGCCCCAAAGCAGACTTCCCCCAAAGGTAATTGCTATGGAAAACATGGGGAAGCCATTTGAACAGAAGATGCACAGTTGAGGTAAAAAAAAAAAAAAAAAAAAAAAAGAAACAAAAGAAAAGAAAAAGTTTATCGTGGCTTGCTGGATGAATGGTTTTATAAATTGAGTAAAAGGCGTGCGTTGTCTTTGGGAGTTGGGTGGATTGGGAGGAAACACCAGTTGAACTGATTCTGGTGGGTCATGGGGGGAATTTATTGGGGCTGCTTTATATCTTGTAAAATATCATAGGGTTAGTTAGAGTCATGTGATTAATTTAACTCACCAGTCCTTGCTGGTAGGCCCAGACTAGACTGCTTGGAAGAATGTGGAAACTGGCTTTTTAAAGTGGCATTTATGTTAATTTTGTTCTCATTAAATCTGTGTGAAAGTAGCCAGAGTTTTTATTTGGAAAATATAATTGAAAGCTGTATCTATCCTTTGCTATGACTAAAATGAAAGTTTTTGTTTTTCTCTTGGTAATACTGTATTCAGAGCTGTGGTGCTTTGTAAAAGTTTGAAAGTCTTTTTTGTTGTTTATACGCATTTTAATGTCATTTAAATGAGATAATTTGTAATTCTTAAGGGTATTTTACTTAATTATATTTGCTATTGGGAGAAAATTCATTTTTTTACAGATAAAAGTTTAAAAGATAACCAAAGCTAAGTAATGATAATTATTCAATTAAAATGTTTCATGAACTAAACGTGAGATAAACCTGACAACTGAGATGTTCTTTCAACTCCGAATTTAGTTTTGATTATTTAGATCCTTTCTACCTTAGTTTTTAATCATTGTATCAAAGGTACATAATTTCAATAAGTTGCTCTGTGCTGTCACATGTTATGCATGTAACTCTGCTTGTTCCCATGGATATGTGTTTTATTTGTTACCATCATGGAAATGCTGCCTCTTTGCTCATGGACTGTCACTCACTACCTGCAGGTCTCAGCCTGTTGTCTTGATACATTGTACATGTGGTAGTGTGTTAGACACTAGAGGGGTATAGACAAGTGTAAGGAGAGCCTGTATCTCCTGTCTTCAGGGATCATAACCTAAGTGGAAAAGATAAACTAGTGTATACAGACTGTGTCATGGTATGCTTTACCATACATTTTTGAGATAAAGCAGAAATATTACAGAGGAGACTTAAACGGAGATGTGTTTGTTTTCAGATGCTTTGTTAGAACTTCAAATAGAAATGGAAGTATTAGGAGGTGCGGTTCCAGAGCTTGTTGAATATTAAGGAGGAAATGTAAAGATTGGGAATCGTGTTTATACAAGTAAGGGTTGAGTAGGTGAGGTTAACAAAGAAGATAATTTGTAGGGGGAGAAAGGAGAAAAACGGGAAATAGCAAGATTTATGCAGTGGAGGACAGATGAAATGGAGCAGGAAAACAACCTAGAAGATCAGACACAGAGACTTAGAAGAAGAATCGAAATGATGAAACTTTGGGGGAACCAATCCAGAGATTTTTGAGGAGGAGGAAAGATTGGCAAGGAGTATTTGATGACTTAATAGGAGAGTAGTGCAGTAGAGAAGTTTGCATGGGTGTGTGACAGGAAAAGGGAGTGGAGAGGAGTGTAAAACGGACACTTCTCAGTGTGGGAGTGAGGTGGGCAGCCAGTATAGTGGGGCTGTGATTCTTTAGGGAGTGACAGGCTTCAGTTCGGCAGTGACCATAGAAACAGCTCAAAAATTAGAAAAAAATAGGTCTGAGTGAGGGAAATGTTTACTTCTAGTAAATGTGGTAATAGGGGATGGCGGTGTGGGGCGAAAGGAAGGTCGTCATGTGCCGGTGTCTGTTTTTCAACCCAAGTTTAGGGGAGGGAAACCTTAACTTTGTGCCCTCTTGCCCCCTGTTAATATTTCTCTACTTTGTCATTTTCTCAGGTTTTTACTTTCTGTCTCTGTTCGTCATTTAGATTTTTTCTCCCTTTGATTTAATCTCTGCCTAAATTCATTCCTAAATAAGTGTATTCTAATTAAACTGTGGATTTTATGATGTTTTAGCAGTGTCTTATAGGGCAAACTTGTTTTCCCGCAAGGGAGAAAAATTTATTCTATACAAATGAATTATTAGTATGGGTACTTCTTCATGTTGCCAAAAGACAAGTTTTTATGTGGGTGTGATCCTGATTTTGATCTAACAGTTGAATTGTACTCTCATTGCCGACTGTTATTTTGTGGTTTTGATTTTGGAAGATGATGTTGTAGCTAATGATGAAGATTTCTTCCACTGATAGAGTACATTCTGTGTGCCAGACCCTGCTTGCTAGATGTTTTTGCAAACACTACTTATAATGTTCTAGCTTTCATAACCCCCATTTAAAAATGAGAAAGCTTAGGCTCGAAGCTCAGCACCTGGTGAACTTGGTCTTCCACTTCAAATCAGCTCTGAAGCTCTTTGCCTGTTGCTGTGCTGCCTCTTATTTCAGGAGGGTTGCTTCTTGTAAGCTTCTTTTCCTCGACTTTGCTGATTCTGGGCTTTTCCTTTGTGGCTAGTACATTCTAGTTGACCTTGATGTTTGTGAATGGTAAACTATTCTCTTTCCTTACTTTCTAATTCCTCCCCTTTGTCTAACGGCATAACTCATCATCACCCCTTCCTATCTGATAACATAATCAGCTAGAATGTAATGGTGATGGTGGTACAAAATTAGTGTGTTCATTTTTATTTTAAATTTATCTTAGTCTTTCATTTTCTCGTTTTATCTTTTGTTTTTGCCAAACTTTGATTGCTGTACATTTTTTAAAGCGATTTTTCTTCTTTGTTTTGTTAGATAAGTATTTCAGTTTTGATATCAATTGATTAAGCCTATAATACTACTTTAAAACATGTGGAGAGTTGTTCTTTAGAAATAAGTCAGTTTGAGGAAGGGTCACATTAATTTATTACCTATTATGTGAGATTCTTTTTTTTTGGTCACAGTTCTTTTTTATAGGGCCATATTGAGTACTTAATATTTTTTAGTTTTAAATTAATGATTTCAGACATACAGAAGTACTCAAAGTAATCCATACTTTTGTACTCACTCACAGGCTTAAGAAATGCACATCATTGATAAAGCTGAAGCCCTTGTGTTTCTCTCTTCCATTTATTCCTGGCATCCCACAGTATAGGTTGAGTACCCCTTCACTAGAAGGTTTGGAGTTTAGATTTTTTAAAAAGGATTTTGGAATATCTGCATTCTAGTTACTGGTTGAGCATCCCTAATCTGAAGTCGGAGGTGCTTCAATGAGCAGTTCTTTGTGAGTGTGATGTTGGTACTCAGAAAGTTTTGGAGTCTGGATTTTTGAATTGGGAGTACTCGACCTGTATTGAGTTTTGAATGAAGGATTTTCACGAAAGTTCTTTTATAATATGCAAAAAGAAAGCAATCTTTCTTGATTATTTGTAACTTCCTACATTGGAAATTTGAATTTAAGACTGAAACTGGTATTAGCTTTTTATCTGTAACTACTTGATGCACATTTTTGTTTTTCAGATGTCCTACATGTGTTATGGTAGGCTAGAGATATGTTTATGATGTATTGCTTTTATTTATTTCTCTTTTCCTTAAACAGAGTGCAATAGAGTCTCTTTTTGGAGCATCATTAACTGGGATTGCCTATTCATTGTTTGCTGGGCAACCACTAACAATATTGGGGAGCACAGGTCCAGTTCTAGTGTTTGAGAAAATTTTATTTAAATTCTGCAGGTAAGTAATAGTTCTGTACTTGTCACATGTGTTTGTATGAATGTACAATTATATATTGTTTAACATAGTTTAAAAAGTGTATTTAATAACTGAAAAAGATTTGATCAATATATGCATTTTCAATATTTTTGGACTTACGTTTGACCCTGCCCTGGCCCCTAAAACCATTCCTAACCCAGTAACATGGAAATGAGGAAAGTAAGATTGCCCTTGAGTGTACAGTCAATGGATTTGAGTGTTGCTCAACAGATCACTTGAGGGACAGTGGAGTTTCTTTTTGCTAGCAAATTTAAACCAATAAGAAGGTGTTAAAATGAATTATTCGATATGTTGGTCTTAACACAAGAAGTTTAGAGCGAGGTGGATCTTGAAAGCCCATACTGGCTTTACTAATCAGTCTTGCTTAACAGAGGGGACTGAAGCAGTCAGGTAAAGTGTCAGTTTCTACTGGCAAGATTGTTTACAATGTGGAAATGAATGTAGGGCACTGTAGCTATCAGATTTGAATTTGACGTGGCCAGTACTGATCTTTTTTGTGAGACATAGAAGCAGTTGAATATTTGAGCCTGAAGCAAGTTGATGCTATTAAATATTTGATTGTTCTAACTTGTTTTGCAAGATTCTGTACTTATTAGACAAACTAATTCTGGTTCTAATCCAGCATGCTACATAGACTAGTAGAGGATGCAGTGACCTGAAGTATAGACTCTAGTAGTGATTTCTTATTTGTAGTTTAAAATAATAAAAACTTCCTGTGGGAGAGGAGGTGTGGGGGTGATGGTAGTGATGTTGGAACTGTGGGTGTTGACATACTGATGGAGGATCTTCAGAGGGAGTCGGGTGCAGTTGTTCATTCCTATAGACTACATCTGTCATTTACTCATAATTGATTTCTAATGTGAGGTCGAGTGATCTTGAAGTATTTATTGCCTAGCAAACTTTGACTGGAAATCTTTTATGTAAGTAAAATAACCACATCTGTTAATAGGAAGCTAGTCTTCAGAGGAAGCAGAAAAACACACATCTAGTCATTATTTTGTCACTCTGTAGTTTACTCTCTTTTTTAGGAGTCATATTTTTATGCTGTCCTCACTGCTTGTTATGAAAATTTTTAGGTATGTTTACTGTTCTATAGACATATGTTGATCTTGTTCACATTTCTCTTTCTAAACAGAGATTATCAACTTTCCTATCTGTCTTTAAGGACCAGTATTGGTCTGTGGACTTCTTTCTTGTGCATTGTTTTGGTTGCAACAGATGCAAGCAGCCTTGTGTGTTATATCACTCGATTTACAGAGGAGGCTTTTGCAGCTCTCATCTGTATCATCTTCATCTACGAGGCTTTGGAGAAACTCTTCCATTTAGGAGAGATATATTCATTTAATATGCACAATAACTTAGATGAACTGACCAGCTACTCGTAAGTGCTTCTATTTTCCCCTAATATTAAAATGTGTTTTTGCAGAGATGTCAGAGCCTAAGACAATGACATTTTTATACTGTGATAGTGTATCTAGCTATAACTACCTAAGTAGCCATATGGTAGTTGATGTGTCTGGTTCAGATGAGATTTTGGCAAAGCAGTCAATGGACCTAAATAGAATTGATCAAATTCAGTCATTTTTGTTCACTGGAATAACTTAGTCAAGTGTGTATATTTTAGTCATTTTTTTGGATTGGCCAGTTTGAATTTGTTTGATTACTAATCCATCATATATTATAATCAGGCAGTTAGACTGGATCTTATATTCTTTAACTAAATCCTAGATGTAGAGTAGGATATAGGCTGTATTTTTTATGTTTATACAGTCTGCACATTTTGCTTCTCTTTTAATACTTTAGAAGCTTGATAATTTTTAATAAAGGTTTTTTCCATAAGAATTTTAGTACATTCATCTGTTTAGTGGAATGTTTTCTTTGTGATTAACATGAAATGGAAATCTTACTGAACTCTGGAATAAAATAAGATTGGAAAGAAATGTATAATAGTTACAAAAAGTCAGCCTATATATTAAGTAATGTAAGATTATGCTGTTAAAATTAATACATATCGAAATAGATGCCTTATATTTGCTGTCTTTAGCAGTTATGCTGGTATATATGTGGTACAGTATTTGATTGACTTACATGGAGAAATGTGGTTACTGAAAGACAAAAAAGGATACAACTTTTCTTTTTCTACTCACCTAAGTCCTAACAACTTGTACTTTCCCCTTCTCTCCATTCCTCTTCTCCTTCTTCTTCCCCTGCTATGTTCCCTTGCATAGTCTCAACTCTAATGGACAGAATAGGGAGAGTATGAAAACTCCTATAAGACATTGACCTGTTAGAAATTGTTAGTGATACCATGATGCTGGGTCTGTTCTCTGCCATATTTTCTTGGCTCTTAAAAGTTTTCATTTATATATATACATATGTGTGTGTGTATATATATGTACACACACATACAGATATATATATACACATGTGTGTGTATATATGTATATAGTCTTTATGTATATATATGTGTATATATAATATATATTATATTAATATATATGTATATCATATATATATGTATTCATTCGGCTTACACTCTGAGTGCCTGCAGGCACTGTTGGGAGTGTTGCCTGTTTTAGATTATAAATTTATATTTGTAGTATTACTATTATTCATATTATAGTTCCTTTTGTATATGACAAAACTGAAGAAGGTCTTGGAGGATAAAACTTGCCTTAGGTCAAACAGCTAGTAAATGATACTTCCTTGGACTCCATAGTTCATCTTTTTGCCTTTTCTCAAACAGTTCATAATGTAATTGGAAATATTTGTGTTTGTTTGTCTTCATTTATTTCTTAAATCCTCATTTAAAAGTTTCTTTCTTTGCTCATATGTGTTTCTAGCTTTTTTAGGCAGTTGAAATAGTTCTGGATATAAACTGAACTCTGATCTCCTGATGACTCTCCTAGTCCTGTCTTGATGAAAAACTATTTTTTATTTATTACTTGAAGGATGAGTCTTAAGCTCTATAAAGGGTGACGATGAGTAGGTGGGCTTGTCAGAGTACACAGAATTCATAGTAGTATAACGTTTATTGGAAATTCATACATGTTGTGGGGGGTGGGAGGAGGCAGCCGTCCATGTCTGTTATGGAGGCTGATGAGGTAAAATTTAGTGGAATGCAAAGCTTGCTAAACAAAGTAAAGTAGTGTCCCCCAAAGGATATATCTAGCTAGTTTCATTAAGCAAATATTTTGTTGATAATTTGTCTTAGTTTTATTTATATGACCCAAACCTTCTTCTGTTCTGTTGTTTCTGATGTATTTTATAATTGATTTAGTAAACTGTAAACATGAAATGCAGGATTTTAAAAAATGTATCCTCCTCTAATTTCTCAGATGTGTGTGTAGTGAACCTCCTAATCCTAGCAATGAAACTCTAGAGCTATGGAAGAAAGATAATGTAACAGCACACAGTATTTCCTGGGGAAATCTCACTGTTTCTGTGAGTACATTATGAAGTAAAGAGTTTTGTAAATACAGTATATTAATCTTGTCCTTTTAGCTTTTTCTGATTAGACATATATTTTCTTCTTGATTGATGGATATATAGTATATTTTCATAGTATGGTATTGTGTTGACCATAGTGACATACTACTTTTTTATGTATCATGGCACTAGCAAGTATAAACTGAAAAGAGTGAAGTTGGTAAAGAGATAAAGGTGAATTATATTTGACTTCCAAGATAACTATTAAAATGATGTGAATACACTTGTGGTTTCTAATTCTGCTTGGATTGATAAATTCAAAGGAGGTGTTTACTGGGACCCTAGTTATATATACTGGGGCTTACAATGACAACATTTTATATCCACTTGTTCTGCTTTTTGTCAGTTCATCTGCTTAATGGACAGCTTATTTAGAAGATCATGAGTGCTATGCTATTGCCTGCCCTAAATATCTAAGTGAACCTTGTCTAATTTGTAAAGACTAATCTGACTCAAGTACTAAGGGAAGAGAACGGAAAAAGAAAAAAACATGTAATGAGCAACTAGTATATATTGAATACTGTCACAGGTGTTTGTATTCTGTTGGGAAATACTGTTCTACGTCTAGAATATTTTTTCTAGACACCTCCAATTTGGGAGTTAGGAATAAAAATGTAAAGTGTTGCTAGCAGTCAGAATGAAAATCAAGATCCCCTGAGCTGCTTCTTTTTATTTCATATAAGTGACTGTAGGTCCTTCCTTTCTCACTAAAGGTGATAGCTGCTAATTATATAATTTGGTTGTTATTATCTGAAACTTTATTTCATTGATATTTTAAGGCTGTGTTGTCCAATGCAGTAGCCATTAGTCACATGTATCTATTTAAATTTAATAAAATAATTATTTTAATAATTAATTAAAATGAACTAAAATTAAATAAAAGTTTAGTTTCTTAGTTAACTAGCCGTATTTCAGATGCTCATCACCTCATGTGACTACAGTCTTCTTTACTGGATGGTGCAGATATATAACATTTCTATCATAGAAAGAGCCACAGCCATTTCTATCATAGAGGTGAGCCACAGCCTCAATCACCTGGGCTTAGGTGATCCTTCTGCCTCAGCCTCCCAAGTAGCTGGAACTACAGGCACATGCCACCACACCTAGCTAATTTTTAAATTTAATTTAATTTAATTTAATTTTTGTAGAGACAAGGTCTCCCTGTGTTGCCTAGGTTGGTCTTGAACTCCTGGGCTCAAACAATTTGCCTCCCATACTATATATCCTACTAGTCTATACTATGTACAGGTGTGAGCCATTGAGCCTGGCCACTATTTTATATTTAAAAAGACATTTTTGTTATAAAAGAAGTATAGTTAATAGAAGTTTTGAAATAAAAGTGACTTGTTAAAAAGAATTATCTCATCATGGGTAGGATATCTTGATAAACAGATACAGGCTTTTTCAGTGTATTTACTTGATATGTGAAAGGTTCATGGTAGTGTTCTTTCTCTCTCTCTTCCCCCTCCCGTGTGTGTGTGTGTGTGTGTGTAGTTGCTTTTCTTTTCATGATCATTGGAGTAGGTTAGATTTCCTAATGTCAGCATATGCAAACTGAAAATAATGAAACACTTAACAATTTTTCCTTTAGTACAACTGAGTTGTTTGGTTAAAATGATTCTTGTTTAGAATAGAAGCAAGAAAAAGGGGGACTAGTGGCATGTGACTTTATTAATCTGTGGTTGTCTTTCAGTTATTCACCCACCCCCCAGGAAATAGATTTTCTCTAATTGCGTTATATTATGCTATATTATTGATTTTATTAATTAAAATATTTTAGCAGTCATTTTACTGCTCATGATTTGATTCTGTGCTTTTAATTTCAAAGTCTTGAGTCAGGTCAGAAAAGCTAAACACAGCTTTCATTCCTGATTTTAATTTCGTTCCGAAGTCATATCTTACCCAACATTATAAGAAGGCATAGTATTAGTTTTCTGTCTGCTGCTTTTGTTTTAACTAACTTGTTGACAAATAAAGATGGTGAAAGTGGACCAGCAAGAGATGCAGAGGAAGCATTTTATAACTAATGTTCACTATAAGCCTTTCACAGAAGAGAGTATATGAAGTAACTTGGCCCAATACTGTATTTCAGTGATTTGAGATGCTCATAGTTTTCTTTTTTCTTTTTATTGGGTCTGAGTCTCACTCTGTCGCCCAGGCTGGAGTGCAGCGGTATACTCACGCCCACTGCAGCCTCGACCTGCTGAGCTCAGGCGACCCTTTCATCTCAGCCTTCCAAGTAGCTAGAAGTATAGGCGTGAACGACCATGCCTGGCTTATTTTTTGATTTATTGTAGAGACAGGTCTCACCATGTTGCTCAGGCTGGTCTCCAATCCATGGGCTCAAGCAATCCTTTCACCTTCACCTTCCAAGGTGCTGGGATTACAGGCATGAACCACCGTGCCCCACCGGAGATACACATATTTTTCAAATTGTAATGTCTTTGAATTCAGAATGTACCTTAACATTTATTGATGATGTGTTATATTTGACTTGGCAGTGTCTAAGTGAAACATAAAATAATAGTGTATCTTCCAATCAGTTGCATCTTAGAGCCAATGAAGTTTATTAATAACTTATTGGATATTTAAGAATCCCTTTGATTCTCTCATCTCTCTCTCTCTCTCTCTCTTTTCCCCAGGAATGTAAAACATTTCATGGTGTATTTGTAGGATCAGCTTGTGGTCTTCATGGACCTTATATTCCAGATGTGCTCTTTTGGAGTGTCATCTTATTTTTCACAACATTTTTTCTGTCTTCATTCCTCAAGCAATTTAAGACCAAGCGTTATTTTCCTACCAAGGTAACTGGGATGTAATTCTGGAACTTTGGTACTTTTCATGATTTTAGTTTTTATTTCCTTGGTTTATTTCAAAACAGTAATATATTTTTTGAGATTTATACTTTATGCTAAATAGTTATAATATTATTCATAGTGAAAAATGAATATTACATGTCTGAGCTCAGAATAGAGTTGGTAGGTTATTTGTGAAATGTGCTTATCTGTTTGGAAAGAATTAGACATAAATGCTTTTCACTTATAACATTGTCACTAATTAAAAGCCTCATGCATACTTTGTAGTGATATATTTTATCAGTGAAAGATGAATTATTCAGAAAAACACATAGTATTTCTGTGTTTATATTAACATAATCCCTTTAACATAGGTGCGGTCGACAATCAGTGACTTTGCTGTATTTCTCACAATAGTAATAATGGTTACAATTGACTACCTTGTAGGAGTCCCATCTCCCAAACTTCATGTTCCTGAAAAATTCGAGGTAAGGATTAAAACAAGTGGCTGTTTGTTACTTGGGAATACCAGATTTACTTTAAAATGAGACACTGCTTCCTAAATAGTTATTTTTTCAAATGTGCGTAATCTCTTTGAAGAGCTGATGCTTTGAAAGAAAAAAAATTATATGTGTTTCTTACATATGTAAAAAATGACAGTATGGAAAAGGGCATGTGAGCTTAATTAGGAAGTGTATCAATGCTAGTCTGTCAGAAGGGTGATTGAAAATATTCATGTTGGGGAGTTGGAAGCTCTCCAAAAAACTAAAAAAAAATATTAGCCAGGTGTGATAAAACATGTCCCAGCTATCCAAGTAACTGAGACAGAAGGATCACTTGAGCCTAGGAGGTTGAGGCTGCTGTGGGCTATGATCGTGCCACTGTACTCTAGCCTGAATGACAGTGAGACCTGGATTAAAAAAAAATTTTTTTTTTCTTTTTTAATCTGAGCATCCATTTGGATTCTCTGGTTTCATTAGCAAATATACATCTATTTATTTTCCTTCTGTCTTTGTTTTCTTTCATCCTCCTCTGCTGATGATCATGTGATGCATTTTGAGTTGTGTCACTGGTTTTTTTACATGTAGAAAATTATATGACTCCTTTAGAAAGCAGAAGGTTTAAAGGGGATCAGAAATAAGGAATATAATGGAGAGCATGTGATTTTGTCTTCCTTTCATTGAGACCAAAAAAGAATGTTATTTTTAAAACCATTGGTCTCTAAAGTAGGGTGCATGGGTGAAAAATGATTCTCTCACAGTATTTAGAAAGTCTATTTATATTTTTAATCTAAAAATAAGAGAAATTAAGCTTTATAATACTTATTAGTAAACTTTTCTACTATATGCATAACCAGTAGTGGTAATATGATGTGTAAATGAGTATATATGGGTATATATGCTCAATTGTATTTTATTTTTTGCTGCTAAAACTATATAATAAAAAGCAAGTGGAGACCTTTGTTTAAAAACACAGATATTGAGCCACTGAAGATTATAGATAATTAGTAAATCAATAGTATATTAAAGTCACTCTGCTTTTACCGTCTTATGGGAATATATAAGTAAACAAAGCTATAAATTGATGTTGGTTCAAAACATTGACATAATATTCTTTAAATCCTAGCCATATTCTTGTTCTTAAATATGTCCTTAGTTATTCATTTATTGATAATTGCTTTCAGAAGTATTATATTGCCCTTTTGTATTGCCACGTTTGTATGAAGAAAAAACATGCTTAATCTTAAAACTAGGTAATGAAAACATGTTTAGGTTTCAGTATATTCAGGATTTTTCAGGAGTACTAAACTCTCTTGATATTTCTGAAACTAAATTTTTTTGCTATAAAATAAATTAGGAGCTTATCTAGTAGGTGGGTTGATCTTACCTTATACAAAGTATTCAGGAACATGTTGAAATCACATTTTGATTTCCTGTCTGTTTCTGCATGACAGAAAGGAATGCCTTTGAACACCTGCCCTTCATTTGTTTATAATTCTGTGGTAGTTGGGATTGGGTTTAGCTGTTTAGTGGTCTGATCTATGGGCTTCAGTTAATCTAGAGGCTTGATGGAGACTTGATGGGGGTAATATGGCCTCATTCACATGTTTAGGGCCTCAGCTCAGATGATTGAGACAGCCGGGCTAGTTGTAGCCACTCCTTGCCTCCACCACCACATTGTCTTATCCTTAGGAAAGCTTATCTGGGCTTAACTCAACAGCATAATAATCGCAGGGTTCCAAGAGTATTAGAGAAGAAGCTGCACAGTCTCTTGAGGTCAAGGCTTAGAAATCACTCTGTGTCACTATATCCTTATTCTGTAGGTTAAAGTAAGTCATAAGGTGATTCCAAGTTCATAGAGAAGGGAAACAGACTTCAACTCTGGATGGAAAGAGTGGCTAAGTCACGTGATAGGAGGTGTGCTTTGTAGGGATGGGAAGAATTCCTGTGACTGTCTTTAAAAATATTCCCCATGTATCCCAGGATTTAATCCAGTTTTTTTTTCTTTATTACTTTTAATTTTTCAACAGCCTACTCATCCAAGTAGGGGCTGGATTATAAGCCCATTGGGAGATAATCCTTGGTGGACCTTATTAATAGCTGCTATTCCTGCTCTGCTTTGTACCATTCTCATCTTTATGGATCAACAGATTACAGCTGTAATCATAAACAGAAAGGAGCACAAATTGAAGGTAATTTTTACATTTTGCCTTAAGCATTGTGATATCTTCAAGGGTTTGTGCTGTTTTTGTCATGATTAGACCATTAAAAGATGCAAGAGGATTGGGTTTTTTCCCTCTCTTTAGAATTACTGTAGAATCTTAAACTGAAAGAATAATTTCAATTTACAGATATTCATGTTTATTTCACTTTTCAGAAAGGAGCTGGCTATCACCTTGATTTGCTCATGGTTGGTGTCATGTTGGGAGTTTGCTCTGTCATGGGACTTCCATGGTTTGTGGCTGCAACAGTGTTGTCAATAAGTCATGTCAACAGCTTAAAAGTTGAATCTGAATGTTCTGCTCCAGGGGAACAGCCCAAGTTTTTGGGAATTCGTGAACAGCGGGTTACAGGGCTAATGATTTTTGTTCTAATGGGCCTCTCTGTGTTCATGACTTCAGTACTAAAGGTAAAATCCCTTTATTGCAGTGTTTTAAAAATCATACTTTTCATGGCATTTATAGTTAGTTGTATGAAAATGAAACGGCAAAATATACTTAAAATATATAAAATTAGCTTTGTTTTCTGCAGTTGGCTTGGGCAATAATATTTGGTAAGGCTTTTAATATAGTAAACATTTCAGTGGTAAGTGTATCTATTTTAAAAACAATGCAAAAGGATAGTATTAAAAACTATACTTTTTGAAGGAGTTAATGGCTTAGTTATGAGAGGATTTTGTAGGCATACCATTTATCAATTAGGGTTCAAATTTAGGTTGTGTGTGAGCGTGTGTACAGTATGTTTGTATTAACTAAAAAAATTATAGTTAAATGCTGGAATTTTTTTTTTCTTTTTTTTTCTTTTTTTAGTTAGGAGTCTCACTCTGTTGCCCAGGGTGGAGTATAATGGCATGCTCATAGCCACCGCAGCTTCGACCTGCTGGGTTCAGCCTCAGTCTTCCAAGTAGTAGAACCACAGGCTCATGCCACCACACCCAGCTAATTTTTTGATTTATTGTAGATACGAGGTCTCGCCATGTTACTTAGGCTGATCTTGAACTCCTGAGCTCAGGCAGTTCTCTTGTCTCTGCCTCCAAAGTACTGGGTTACAGGTGTGAGCCACTGCACCTGGCTAAATACTGGAGTTTTTAAGTCTAATTTCATGGGCTTCTATCAGCCAATTAATTCACCAGGTATTTGTCGAGAACTTACTGTGCTGTTAGGCACAAGGGAAATAATAATAAACAGGGTGCATTATTGTCTACTTGCAAGAACTTGAAGATCTGGAAGGCGAAGCATAGGTAAATGGTCAATTACAGAATAGTGGTAGGTGTGTTTTAGAAGTACTTGGAGACAAGAGGAGAAATATTTAGTGCAGTCTTATGGAGATGCAGTTGACCGTTGATTAAGGTTGCCCTTTAAATTTTTTAACAAGTTAAAAAATTTTAGAAATATTATATAAGGAGAGAAATTCAAATAGATACGAAAAAAGCTCTAAAATGAAGTTAGTCTTCGTGTTTTTTTTCCTCTTCCAAAAGTAACTCTTCAGTGATAAGTTCTTTTTAACTTCTTTGTTTAGCAGTTTATTCTTGTGGTTGCCTTTATTACAGTTTTAAATAATTTTATAATTTTATTTTTTAGTTTGTTGTATTTAGACTGAATCTCTTTAATTAAAACAACGATTCTCAAAGTCATAGTCCAAAGACCTCTGGGAGTCTCTGACTTGCTGTCAGGGGTCTGCCAGGCTCTTCCCTTTTCGAGTACATGCTGTTGTATGTGGCTGTTTTCTATGTACTTCAACCAGAACAGCACGTTGCAGCAGATGAGATGCAGGTGCAAGATGATAATTAATTATCTTCTGTTAAGTTGGTCACTAAAGAATTTTACAAAAGAGTAAAGCACTGCCCTTTCACTTCATTTTACTTTGTTTTGGAAATTGCAGTTTTTCATAAAAATGTGTTTTGTGTTAAATGTTTATTATTTTTATTTTGAAATTAGTTTTAAAATAAGTATTTAAAATTTATTTTGCTCTCTAATACAGTGAATATCAGTATATATAACCTATGTAAACAAAAGCATTTGGGGTGGGGAAAGATCTCAGTACTTTTTTTTTTAAAAAGAGTACAGAGAGTTCTTGAGACTGAAAAGTATGAGAGCTTCTGACCTAAGGTTGTGTCTTTTGTGATGAATTTAGTATGCTTCCATGTCCTCCATCCACAGCCTCCCTTTCATCTCCTGCCTTTGTTGGATTTTACTTCTAGTTTTATTATTTTTGTAAAGGCTAACAATTACATTCTGTACTGTGGTTATAATTATGCCTTCCATACTTCTCCTGTAAGCTAAATTCTAAAAATGTAAACCCTCTGGGAACCCATAAACAGTATTATGATGATAAAAATATTTGCTGAAAACTAAGATAGGAATATACCCCTTTTCTCTCCTGCCAAAGCCTCAAGATCCAATAAGTTTTCTTAGTATCTATTGACTTTCCTTACTTTTAAAAAATTTGTATGTGCAGAAATTCTTTTTCATGCATGGTAGCATAAGCAGTGAATTTTTTTCAGAGTTCTTGTATATTTCAAAATATCTTTGTTTACTCTAACACCTTATCCATAGTTGAATATGCATTCCCAGGTTCAAAATAATTTCCCTTTGAGTCTTAAAAATCATTGTTTCATTGGCTTCTAGAGACCAGGTTCCTAATGAAAAGTATGATATCTATTGGGTTTTTGCACTTCTATGAAGACCTTTTTTTCCTTCCTGTCTGGAAGCTACTAGAATTTTCTGTTTGCTCCTGGTGTTATGAAATCTTATTTAGATATTTAGGTCAATAGATAGGGGATTTTCTTTACCCTACTTGTCTCTCCTGGGTCAATTTACTCTGGAAACTTGTCCCTTCAGCTGTGAGAATTTTCTCCCATTGTTTATTTCATCTTAGTTTTTATTGTCTCTGTTAGAAATTTCTTCAACTGCAGCTAAACAGATCTCAGACCTTCTAGATTTGTTCTGATGTTCTTAACTCTCTTTCCCTTCACTATTAATTTCTTTCCCTTTTCATATAATTATTTCAATCTTCAGTCTTGTCAAAACTATTATTATAAAATGCTTTTTAATTATTTTGATAATTATAGCTTTAATTTCAGCTGCTTTTTTATTCTGATTATTCATTGTTCTTAGCATTCTGAAGTTTTATCCCTGAGATTGCTGCTTACTGTTTTAAAAAATATGTTTTCTTCATGAATTTTTTTTTCTTTCCAGTGTCCTCAGAAAAGATGTGGTAGTTGGTAGTAGAGGTGTTGTGGATATGGTTTTTCCTTGTGGTTTTTAAGTCTTTTTTCCTTATAAGCTTCTCCCTGGGGTCAGAGTGCTGATTGTGGCTGAGTAAATTAATGGGGTCTGTCATAGCCAGGCTTTCTTATAGGATGACTAGGCAGTTGGGGATTCTCATAACTGCCAAAGTAATAGGGGTTTTATTTTGGAAATGGGTTTCAATTGTAATATTCAGTTAATGTTACTACATGATATTCACTGTAGGAGATGGTGATAATAATGGCTAACAGTTTTTGAGTGATTAATATGGTTCAGATGCTTTTCTGAATGCTTTCTGTTTTAAGTCATTTAATCTTTATAGAAACCTGACTTAGAAGCTGAAGTATAAAAAGATTGAGTCTCTACTTAAAAGTTAGCTGGATTTTAAACCAAGAAATATGAATGTAGCACCCATGCTCTTACCAACGAAACTTTTTAGGAAGGAACATGTAGATGATGAATGATTTTTCAAGGAGGTTATAGTCTGTTAGCAGTTTTCTTACATATAGAAATGTTAGCTGGGTCTAATTCTCATGACTGAAGGATCTTTTAATTCTGTCCCATAATGACTTGTTGATTATGTTTTTGTGTTCTTATTACTCAGGAGTTTTAATTGTGACCTTTTGTTTACAGTTTATTCCAATGCCTGTTCTGTATGGTGTCTTTCTTTATATGGGAGTTTCCTCGTTAAAAGGAATCCAGGCAAGTATTAAGTATCCAGTGATTTTGTATAAACACTTAGAAGTATTTTAAATTTCCCAGGATGGTTTTTTAGATGGTAGTGATTTATTCTTAGCTCTGGTATTTTGGGGGCACGTTAGTTTTCTAACTGGCGACTTCAAATCCACATTTGCCAAATAAGTATTTGCTTACTGCACATCCCCGCCCCCCCCCCCCCATTCCACCCCTCCAAGACTGAGATCATGAACTGGTATGGTCCTCACCTGTTTTTAATTGAATCCAATGAAAGGCCCCGTAACTCTCAACAAACACTAGTATAGGGAAAGGGAGGGGCAGAAGGGGAAAAAGTGCTGTTCCCGCCACATATAATAGTAATTTCAGTACTTAACAAGAAAGGGTAGATCATTAATTTCCTATTTAAAAATAGCAATATCTGCCATTTGTATGGCACAATAAGTTTATAAAGCCTAGCACATAAATTAATTTGGGTTCCTCAAAACACCAGTTGGAAGGGAGGAATGGAGACTCCTAATTTTGCAGACCAGAAACAGCAAAATAGAGATGATTAGCTATGAAAGCAGTAGAGCCACATCCGGAACCCAGTGATTCCACTACTTTGTTTTGTTTGTAATCGTTTCTGGAACAGACCTGGTAAAACTTATAAAGATATTTATGGATCAAATTTTAATTTGAAATATTAGGATTATAAAGCCCACTTAGCACCACATGATCACCTCTTATGAAAACCATGCTGTTTAAACTTGCCACCTTGGGAGCTGGTGGCTAGAAGACTTCCTCTCAAAGGCAGCGTCTCTGTTTTTTCACCACCATCCAGGATCTACTTTCCATTGGTCAAGAAATGATTTCATTGTCTCACTTGATTCTTTTAACAGTTTTGTGAGGTGGATAGGGCTGATCTTATTCCTAATTTGTAAGTGAGGAAATTAAAGCTTCTAAAAGCTGAAGGAATTTGCTCATAGTTTTATTTTTAATGAGTGAAGAATTGGTAATTGTTACATCAAGTTATTTTCTAGTATTAGGTGTGGAAAGAACCTTAGAGTCATTCAGGCTTTTACTGTTTCTCTTTTTTTATATACATTGGAAAACAAGTTCAAAGAGATTAAATGACTTCTGCATCTGATTTTAGCAGATTCATTTATCTAAATATTTTAATCTCCAAATTAAAACATTCCGGCTGGAGTTTTCCGGTTAAATTACTGCACAGTAAGCCGGGCTCGGTGGCTCAGCCTGTAATCCCGTGCCTTTGGGAGGCGGAGGTGAGTGGATTGCTTGAGCCCGTGGGTTCGAGACCCGCCTGGGCAGCGAGACCTCATCTCTACAATAAATCAAAAAACCAGCCGGGCATGGTAGCGCATGCCTGTAATTCCGGCTACTTGGAAGGCTGAGGCGGAAGGCTCGCGGGAGCCCAGCAGGTTGAGGCTGCGGTGGCCGGGAGCAGCCACTGCACTCCAGTCTGGGTGACAGAGTGAGCTCCAATTAAAAAAAAAAAAAATTACTGCACAGTAGTGCAGTGCAAGTGGTTGCCTTTTCTCCCTCTCCTTGGATCTAGAGATCTATTGCTGCAACATTCTCTACCATTAGAACATGTCAGAGAAGTTATAATTTAAATTAAATACACAAAATCCTAATACTGAGTATAATTTTTTCTCCTAAATAGCAGAAATGATATTTTACTGAAAACTTTTTCTTTCCTTTTTTGTTTTTCATTCTACACACAGTTCTTTGACCGTATAAAATTATTTGGAATGCCTGCTAAGCATCAGCCTGACCTCATATACCTGCGTTATGTGCCTCTCTGGAAAGTTCATATTTTCACAGTCATTCAGCTCACTTGTCTGGTTCTTCTGTGGGTGATCAAAGCTTCAGCTGCTGCAGTGGTTTTCCCCATGATGGTAATTTTTTCTGTCTTATTTTGTTACTATTAACAATTTTGTGTGTTTTTATAGGAATTTTCTTATTAGTATTTATAATTGACTTGGAGAAAAACGAATAACCCATTTAGGCACTTATAGGTGTTTGAAAATGGGATTGAGCTGTTTCTAGATATATGTGGGGGATCACCCCCAAATGAAATTTATTTATTAAAAAATTGTGTATTTATTCTTATATGTCTAAACTCCAGTCACCTTGAGGAAGGTACGCTCCGTTTGATGTAGTACACCCATTGAGATGCTTTTTCCACTGCTCAAAACAGTTTTTGTACTCGTCCATTTTAATGCCTTTTAGTGCTTCTGCCTGTTTTTTGTTTCACCTTTCCACGTTGGCAAAACATATCCCTTTGAGGACTTTTTCCATCTGGGGAAACAGAGAAAAGTCACTTGGTAAGATAGGTGAATAGGGAGTTTGAGGCTTGGGGGTCTTGCTGTTTTTTGGTTAAAAACACACAGTGTGGTGTGAGCAGGTGTATTGTCATGATGGAAGAACCATTCACCTGTTTGCCACAACTTGGGATGTTTCTTCTGCAAAGCATGATGCAACCTTCTCAAAACTTCAGATTAAAAACTTTGGTTGACCATTTGACCTGGAGGAACAAATTCTGAGTGTACTCACTACAAGGGACCTGCGCTCCAAAAGATAATTCCTCTTTTTTTTTTTTTTTTTTTTAATCCTCTCTTGTAAACCTGTTGTTTCCAGTCTGATTTTTTTGGTAATTTCGTAAAAAAAAATTTTTTCAGTCTTTAAGCTGTAAAAATCATGTTTTGTTTTTTTTAAACAACTTCAGAATTTGGAATGTTCATAGAAAAAAATGATAGTCAAATGTAAAAAGCAAATCCGCCAAAACCGCATGGTTCTTTAGTAGGGTATTTTAATATATCTTTTTCAGAAATTGACAGTTCTAGAAGGTTTTTGTTTGTTTGTTTGTTTGTTTTTTTGAGTTGGAGTCTCACTCTGTCGCCCCGACTGGAGTGCAGTGGCCACTCCCAGCCACTGCAGCCTCCATCTGCTGGGCTCCGGCGATCCTTCCGCCTCAGCCTTCCAAGTAGCTGGAACTACAGGCACGCGCTACCATGCCCGGCTGATTTTTGATTTGTTGTAGAGATGAGGTCTCGTCAAATTGTCCAGGCGGGTCTCGAACCCGCGGGCTCAGGCAATCCACTCACCTCAGCCTCCCAAAGCACTAGGATTACAGGCTGAGCCACCGAGTCCGGCTTAGAAGTTAAGAAGTAATGAAGAACTGGCTAACTTAATTAAGACAATGTTATTGTCACAGAATATTGCATTTTACAAATCGAAGACATTCATTCTTCTGTAAATGCCATATAAAATTAGCTTTATTCATGATCACAGAGAAAACTTTACACAATTAGAAAGCTGTAAAGCTATTTAAGTAATATTTCTTGGTCATAATTAAATTAGAAATAAATAGTGGAAAGCCACTAAAATAATTTAAGTATTTGCAAATTAAACATTGTTCTAAATAATTCCTGGATTGAAAACTTAGTTAAAAAAAGTATAGAAGTATTAAAAGGGAGGACTTTATAACAATGCCTATTTAAAACTGAGCACAGCTAAATTTATACTAAGAGGAAGATGTATACATTTCATTGCTTTTTTTAAATTGAAGAATAAAGCCGGGCTCGGTGGCTCAGCCTGTAATCCCAGTGCTTTTGGAGGCTGAGGTGAGTGGAATGCCTGAACCCGCGGGTTCAAGACCCACCTGGGCAACTTGGCGAGACCTCATCTCTACAATAAATCAAAAATTAGCCAGGCATGGTAGGGCACGCCTGTAATTCCAGCTACCTGGAAGGCTGAGGCGGAAGGATTGCCAGAGTCCAGCATGTTGAGACTGCGGTGGTCGGGAGCGTGCCACTGCACTCCAGTCTGGGTGACAGAGTGAGACTCCAACTCAAAAAAAAAAAAAATTGAAGAATACATAGATGCAACCAATTTTTTTTCTTTGTAAAAATCAATAATGGATAAACCTGTCCCAAACCTGAATAGAGAAGAAATGAGACAGTGAAATATACAAAATTAAGGAGAAAAAGAGATATAACCATCCATATTGAAGCAATTCAAGGAGTTTCAAGAAAATAACACATGCATGTATAATAATAGATTTGAACATCTGGAGTAGGGTTCAACAAACTTTTTTCTGTAAAAGGCCAGATAGTAAATATTTTAGGCTTTGTAGGCACAAGAATATTATGTAGGTACTTATGTAATTACATAAGAGAAAAACAAATTTCTACAACTTCTTACTGATGAAATTCAACAAATACTTTTAAATATATAGAACTTTTAGAATAATGGAAGATAGTATTTCACTTAGGATTCAGGGTACTTGTTCTCTGTCATCAGGTTAATTCTAAATATTCATTTGCTAAAAAATCATTCTTGTCTCGGGCCATGCAAAAATAGGTGGCAGACCAGTTTTGACCCAAGGGCTGTGGTTTGCTAACCTCTCATCTAGAAGAAATGAATTCTTTTCATACCGTATCTAAATTTCCAGAAACTGATTCAAAGTTAAGTATAAAAGTTATTTGTAGCCAGCTTATATAGAAGAGACTGGAAAAATGATTAACGATCTGTCCTTAAAGTGCCAGGGGCAGATTTGTTAATAGCCTAACTTAAAGGAACAGGTCATTACAGTTCTTGAATCATTCTAGACTGAAGGAAAAGATGGGAACTTCTGCGATTTCTCTCAGGAAACACTGGCAAGACCTCATCTCTACAATAAATAAAATAAAATCAGCCGGGCGTGGTAGTGCATGCCTGTAATTCCAGCTACTCGGAAGGCTGAGGCGGAAGGATCACCGGAGCCCAGCAGGTCGAGGCTGCGGTGGCCGGGAGTGGCCACTGCACTCCACTCTGGGCGACAGAGTGAGACTCCATCTCAAAAAAAAAAAAAAAAAAGATCTTAATATCTAGGCCTAATTAAGTTGTATAAAAGATGTATAATACCTTATTTATTAATATAAATGTAAATATCTTAAAATATTAGCAGATAAACAGCATCATTTATTAGAGTAATATATCTAGATTAAGTAGATAGTGATACATTAGCATAACAATTTTTCAACATATTTGTTGAAAATGTGATTATATGCCTATTAACCAAGTGACTTTATTTAAAAACATTCAAATACCTCAACAAAAATAATATGAATTGTGTTAAAATGGCCAAATGTAAGAAAACACGAGAAGAAGTAGATTATCTCAGTTGTAATGTTAAAAATCGGGAAAAAAATCTCACGCCTGTGAACAATAACCATAAAATATTCAAGAATAAAGTTTAAGCCGGGCTCGGTGGCTCAGCCTTTGGGAGACTGAGGTGAGTGGATTGCCTGAGCCCGCGGGTTCGAGACCCGCCTGGGCAGCGAGACCACATCTCTACAATAAATCAAAAAATCAGCCGGCCGTGGTAGCGCATGCCTGTAATTCCGGCTACTCGGGAGGCTGAGGCGGAAGGATCGCCGGAGCCCAGCAGGTCGAGGCTGCGGTGGCCGGGAGCGGCCGCTGCACTCCAGGCTGGGCGACTGAGTGAGACTCCAACTCAAAAAAACTGAGTGAGACTCCAACTCAGAAAAACAAAACAAAACAAAAATAAATAAATAAATAAAATAAAAAATAAATAAAGTTTAAAAGAAAGACCTGTTTAAAGAGAAAAAGCTTTTTTTCTATTAGCATTTGCTGTGAAAGGTGGGACCACAACTGGAATTTTGAGTGGGGCTGAGGGCCATGCTCCTGTAGAAGCCTGTAGGGGACTCCTTCCTTGCCTCTTCCAGCCTCTGGCTTTGCCGTTTCTTGGCTTGCAGCTGTGTAACTGATGTCTGCCTTGGTCATCATAGGGTGTTCTCCCTGTGTGAGTCTGTATCCTCCATGGCATGGCCGTTTTAAAGGACAACAGCCATTTTGTAACAGGAGCTCGCCCTACTCCAATATGGCCTAACCTAAACTAATTCCCCCTGCCAAAGCTCTGTTTCCCAGTACGATTGTCTTCTGAGGTACTGGGCTTTAGGACTCCTACTTTTCTGTAGCGGAGGACGAAATTCAACTCATTAACAGGATTAAAGGATATAAAATAAGACCTGAACAAATGTTGTTGTATTCTTTGTTATGAAGACTTAGTATTATAAAAATTTCAGTTCTCTGAAAAATAGCATTTAAATGTGGAATAGTTCCATGTACGAATTTTTCTAGAGCTTTATTTTGAATGTATCTGTTGGGGTTGGGAGAGAGTGTCAATATGAAGTGGATAAATAATTTTAAAGTTTACAGATAACAATGCGTGGATGGTAGAAGGGTTCTGTATCTTGTTTGAGTGTGGATTATACGAATATATACATTTGTCAAACTGTACACATACTATCTTTTTTTATGTAAATTACATATTTATTTTAAAAGTCAAAAGTAACAAATTCCACATACACTAGCTTTTTACTACTATTTTTTCTGTGTATAAATTACATATTTATTGAAAATAAAGACCCAAATACTAAGAAATAACAAGATAAAGATAATTACAATCAAGAATTCCTGGCTATGAGTGGGAGTAGGAGACTTTGTCATCTATTTGACTATTCCTGTGCTGATACTGTACTGTTTTAATAACCAAATATTTAAAAATTTCTGTTATGTCATTGTAGCCAACACAATATGGAATTGGCTGTAGGAAAAGACAGTTAGGTCAGAAAAATAGTCCAGGAATTTATCTGAATATATTGGAATGTTAAAACTTGAGTATCATAAGCAGGTCATTTCATTAAAGGTGGTATTTCATTTCTGGGAAAATTCAGTATATAGTGTTGGAAGATTTAACTGGAAGCTAATTAAGGTTTTACTCCCTATGTGATGCCATGTTTAGAAAGAAATCATAATTAAGTGGTAAAATAAGTTGCATTAGAAAATTTAGAAGAGTATTTGTATAATCTAGTGATTGGTGCTAACTTTTCAAAAAAGATAGAAAAATCCAACTGTAAAAGAAATATATGCTGTATTTGACCACAGGATATTTAAGCTTTCTTTTTCTACATATTCAAAAAGTATCACAAGTATAATCAGGTTGTGAACTAGGAGAAAATATTTGTAACACTTAAGACAGATGAAGGGTTTCTATAGAAACCATATAAATGCTTAAGAATTCATGAACAAAAGTCATAAAAACCAATAGAACAAACAGGCAAAGGTTAGAAAATAGCAAGTAACAGAAGAGGAAATCCAAAGAGCAGTCAACAAGAGAAAACATACTCGTCCTCAGTAGCCATTAAAGAAAAACAAATCAAAGTCATATTTTTTTCCTCTCATATGTCTGAAAAGTTAATGCTGGGAATAGGTACACTAATATGTTACTCAAGATATTTTAAAAATTATGCTGCTGTAATGTCAAGTCATAAAAATTTATAATCTAAACTTTCATATTCACTATTTAACCAGCTTCATAATTTTATTCAAAAATGCAAGGGTCAGGAGAAGATTAAGAATGCCAGTTTCTTTTTTTTCCCCTCACTTTATAGCTTTTTTAAAGTAGAAAGTTCAAAAAGATAAATAAGGACTCAATTCCTTTGAAATAAAATGGTTTATGTGTATGTTTTGTTTTGTTTTTTTTTTTTTGAGTTGGAGTCTCACTCTGTCACCCAGACTGGAGTGCAGTGGCCGCTCCTGGCCACCGCAGCCTCGACCTGCTGGGCTCCGGCGATCCTTCCGCCTCAGCCTTCTGAGTAGCTGGAATTATAGGCAGGCGCTACCACGCCTGGCTGATTTTTGATTTATTGTAGAGATGAGGTCTCATCAAGTTGCCCAGGCGGGTCTCGAACCCGCAGGCTTAGGCAATTCACTCACCTCGGCCTCCCAAAGTGCTGGGATTACAGGCTGAGCCACTGAGCCCGGCCGGTTTATGTGTATTTTTAAACAAAATTTGTGAAGCATTTTTTGTAAGATAAATGCCCTTTTTAAGTGCTATAACTTAATATCAAATGTTACATAATATTTCTTCCTCACCTTGTTAAGGTTCTTGCATTAGTTTTTATACGCAAGCTCATGGACCTGTGTTTCACGAAGAGAGAGCTGAGTTGGCTTGATGATCTCATGCCAGAAAGTAAGAAAAAAAAAGAAGACGACAAAAAGAAAGAGAAAGAGGTAAAAAAAAAAGCATTTTAAATTTACACACTTCTCTTGTTTAATATTTTGTTTCACAGGCACTATTATAATCACATTATATGAGTCACATCCTTATAAGAACCTTATAAAATACAATAGGTTATTATCCCCATTTTACAAATAAGGAAACTGAGGCAAAGAGTGGTTAAACAACTTGTTCCAAACGTAGGCTTTTACTCATTTCACCATCTTGCCCCTCCATAGTCCTGAAACATTAATACTTTAAAAAATTACATATTGTATCTAACAACCAGAAGAATTAGAGCTTGTAACAGTTTTAAAATATATGCAACACAATTGGACATCATAGTCTATTGTCTGATTTGACCCTAAGCACACTAATTACATACATTTTTAGCATACATTTTAGTTTGAATAGCATTTTAACAATCTAGCAGACATGACAAAAGGATTTTGAGGTAAATTTTCTTTTTAATGAAGCGTTAGTCTATGTCCTATTATCAGTTATTTGTATACTGATACATAAATGTGAATCCTTTATTCTCGATTTTTGTTTTGGTTTTTAATCACCAGCTCAATACTTTCAGTTAGTAAGAAGAAAAAGTGAAGACTTAAGTGTATAACACAGATGGTTTCGTTGATTTGTAGTGCCTTGCTCGGTTTCCCCATTTGTAATATTGTTTGAAAGTCAAAGATAAGAGACAAGTTTTTAAATGCTATGATCCTGCGTAAAAAGTTACTAGTATTATGTTCACTTTTCAGCAAAAACTATAACTCTCAAGTAGATATTAATTATAACATTAATTTGAATTGAGGTTCTAAAATTTTTGAATTTACGATTTGGGTTTACTTTAAAGATATGTATGAGCTTCTGGTGATTTTTTTCAAATAAGATATAATTTATTTTTAAAGTACTTCAAATGTTCTGTTATTACTTCCTGTATGAGTTAGAATAAGGTTCAGTGGCATATAGCAAAAAACAAAAGTAAAAATGGCTTTTAAACACAAGAGTTTTTTTCTCTCGCGTAAAAGAGCTCTTGAAAGCAAGTGATCTAGTGTTATGGCTCCACAAAGTTATCCAGGACTCGTTGTGCTTCTCCTGTCCCCAGCATAGAATTTTCATCCTCAAGTTCACTTCATGGGTCAAAAATGGCTGTGAAACTCCAGCTGTTGTGTTAGCATTAGAGACAGCAGGAAGAAGGCAGGACCAGAAGCCCCATTGTCATAGTTTGAATCTTTCCAGAATGTCATACACTAAGTGCTGCTTACACCACATGACCTCAATGAGTTACAAAGAATGCTGGGAAATTTAGTTTAGTTTTTTTTTTCATTTACTTGTTTGTTTAAAATCTGGTCACACTGCTGCTTTCACATACATTTCTATTGGTAAGGAAGAACAATGTGAGCGCACTCTCTGTGTCTCCTCTATTGCTCTATCCACCACCCCCATTATTAACATGTCATAATTTTGTTCCGTGTCCACTGTTTAAGTGACTTCCCTCCCAGGGGACATTTTTCAATGTTTGAGACATTTTTGGTTGTCTTCTTACCTCTGGGGGGACTGCTACTGGCATCTAATGGGTAGAGTCCTTGGATGTTGTGAAATAGTCTTTATACACAGGGCTTCCCCCTATAATGGATAATTATTATACCCTAAATGTCAATATGGCTGAGGCTGAGAAGCCCTACCTTATACAAATGAGGTTTTGAATCTTTCCAGAATGTCATCCACTAAGTGCTACTTACATGGATTACACAGTAATCCATGTGTCGTGATGGTGAATTCATCAGCTAATTTCCCTCTATACTTTTTGCTATTTTTAAAACATTTTTTTATTTTAAAGATGTGGGGTATAATTCAAGGTTGGATATGCAAATATCCATTATGCAGGCACCCTTGTTGATGAGGCACATCCCTCTGCCGTCCTCCCCCCACCCCCAGCCCCAGCCCCA